TCACACATGCACAAGCTCCCCTCTATCAACGTCCTCGACAGAATGCTACCATTGTTACAATCAGGGAACCCACACTGGCACTTCATTGTCTCCCGGAGTCCACAGTTATACAATATACTCTTGGACTGTTCTTGTGTGTAGGGTGCACTCTTGGTGTTAGACATTCTGTGGGTTTGGACAAATGTATGATGACATACATCCACCATTACAGCATCATACAGAGCAGGGCCACTGCCCTAAAAATCCTGTGCTCTGCCCCTTCCTCCCTCCCTCCAGCCCCTGGCAGCCACTGTGCTTTTTACTGTTTCCACGGTTTTGCCTTTCCCAGAATGTTATACAATTGGAATCTGTGTGTAGCCTCTTTGGATTGACTTTTTTCACTTAGTGGTAGGCACTTAAGTTTCTTCCATGTCTTTTCATGGCCTGATAGCTCATTTCTTTTGAGCACTGAATACTGTTCCATTGTATGGATGCAGCACAGTTTATCCATTTACCTACGAAGGACATCTTGGTTGTTTCCAAGTTTTGTCAATTATTAATAAAGCTGCAATAAATATCTGTGTGTAGGTTTTTATGTGGACATAAATTTTCAGCTTATCCGGGCAAATACCAAAGAGTATGATTGCTGGATGAAATGATAAGCGTGCATTTAGTTTTGCAAAAAAAAACCCACCAAACTGTCTTCCAGAGTGGCTGCACCATTTTGAATTCCCACCAACAATGAATGAGAGTTCCTGCTGCTCCACATACTTGCTAGCACTTGGCGGTGTCGATGTTCTGGATTTTCACCATCTGAATAGGTGTTGGATATGTTTTTATAAGATTACTCTTTTTATTTTTTTGAGGCAGAATTTTGCTCTTGTTGCAAAAGGCTGGAGTGCAATGGCATGATCTCGGCTCACCGCAGACTCCCGCCTCCCGGGTTCAAGTAATTCTCCTGTCTCAGCCCCTCCTGGTAGCTGGGATTACAGGCATGCGTCACCATGCCCAGCTAACTTTGTATTTTTAGTAGAGACATGGTTTCTCCATATTGGTCGGGCTGGTCTCAAACTCCTGACCTCAGGTGATCCACCTGCCTTTGCCTCCCAAAGTGCTGGGATTACAGGTGTGAGCCACCATGCTCAGCCAAGATCACTCTTTTAGCTGGTTGGAGAATGGAGGATACTCATTAGTAGGCTGTCACTGTAGTCTGAGTCATGGCAGTGAAATGGAGCAAAGCAGATGGAGTTTTAGAACAGAAAGGACCTTCTGTTAAGTTCATGTGAGTGGGAACTAAAGTCAGCATGTGGAGTAGTTCTGACTTTTCTAAATTGTGTACTTTAGCAAATAGATACAGCCACTACTCAGGGAAAACTGGAACAGGAACTCTTTATGGAGGGGGAGGTCAAGTGTTCAGTCGTGGATATGTTAGGACAGAATGCATGTGAGACACTGGTGTCCCATGTCACAAAACAGCAGTTGGGCCTGTGGGACGGGGCTCAAGACAAGTCCCATGCTGGGAATACACACTTGGAAGCTGCCAGCTGGTTTTTACTAAAGTTGCCCTGGGACAGTGGTCCTCTGCCCTGCCTGGAGGTTTGGAAAGCATTGATGCCCAGGCCCACAACTGACCCCGCAAGTCAGAATTGGGTGGGGGAGCCTAGTCGTGGGCCTGTTTTTGAAGTTCCCTGTTGATTGCGATATACAACCAGCATAGATAACCAGAGTTAAACTCTGAGAAACTGATACTTAAAGGTCAGAGAGAGAAGAGGCACCAGTGGGGTACTGGAGTGAGAAGGGAGGTCAGAATAATATGGTGTCTGCAGCCAGTGCAGAGCGCAAGTGAGCCTGCAGAGCCATGGCGGCTGACAGCACTCTGCCCCCGGCCCTCAGCCAGCACTCGGAGCTTTGTACACGGTTTGTGCAATCAAACACCTACTTCTTTTCGGTGTTCTCAGGCTGCTCAAGTCAAGATACACTGGGAGACTATTGGTTAGAAAGTTATTTTGTGAGTAAGGTATCAAGATAAGGGGAGTTAGATGATCTTAAGTTGTTTTCTTGGCTAAGTATTTTTATGCACTTTCATCCCCCTAGGGATAGCTTTTCTATGAAAACTGCAATTCTGGATTATACCAACGCAAGATACCTCCCACTGTTAATGTTTTATGGCCACAACTCTTGTGTTCTCAGTCTTTATTCAGAGAGCGCTATGCTTTAGTGGTTTACACGATTACATTAAAATCATATAATCAGTTCTCCCCTAAGTTGATTTATAGATTCTAAACAATTTTAATTAAAACCCTGGCAGAGTTTTTTTGGTAGGAATTGAAAAGTTGATTCTCAGATTTATATGGAAATGCTAAAAATTAAGAAGAGCCAAAATAATCTTGGAGGGAAAAAGCACTATTTAAGAACATAGTCTGTTGGATATCAAGACTAATTAGAAAGCAATAGGAATTACTAGGAATTAAGCAATACCATTTGATTTTGACCCAAGGTTCAGTAAATAGGCCAATGGACCAACATAGAAAATCCACAAACATCAAGTCCAACAGAGCTTAAAGGTTAAA